GCCTAGGTTGCAGATTTGATCCCCAGTCTGGGTGCATATGGGAGGCAGCCAGTCGGTGTTTCTCTCTTGCATCCATCATGTTTCTCTTCCTCTCTTTCTAGAAAGCAATGAAAAAGTGACCTTGGGTAAGAATGAAAAATAAATAACAAGATTCTCTGTTTTCCTTGAACTTGTAACATTTTACTCTTGATGTTCTTGGTGTGAGTCTTTTTCGGTTCATCTTGTTTGGGACTCTCTGTGCTTCCTGGACATGGATGTCTGTTTCCTTCATCAGGTTAGGGACATTTCCAGCCATTATTTCTTCAAATAGATTTACTGTTCCTTTCTCTTACTCTTCTCCTTCTGGGAATCCCTGTGATGTAAATGTTAGTACATTTGATGTTGTCCCAGAGGTTCCTTATGCTATGCTCATTCTTTAAAATTTTTTTTTATTTTTCCCTTTGGTGATTTCCACTATTCTATCTTTCTGATTACTGATCCATTCTAGTGTATTTTTCAATTAGTTCATCTCTAATAGGTTCTTTATCGTTTTTGTCTCTGTGTTGAAGTTCTCAGCTTCTCTACAGAGTTTGGTGAGCATCTTTATGACTATTGTTTTGAATTCTTAATCTAGTAGACAGCTCCTTTCCATTTTGTTTAATTTTTTTCCTGGGGTTTTGTATTGTGTTTTATATGGAACATATTCTTTTGTCTCCTCATTTTGCCTGTTTGCTTCTATGTATTGGGTAGATCACCTATGTCTCCTGGTCTTGAAAATATGGCCTTTTTTAGAAGGTGGACCATGGTGCCAAGTGATGGAATCCCTCCCTCAACCCCATCACCAGAGCCATGTGCTCTAGAGGTGTTCCCTGTGTGGCCTCCTGTTGTGATTGGGGTACAACTGCTAAGGACACAGTGGCAGGCAAGGTTGGCGCCAGGCACAGTTGGCTGTGAGGGCAGGGCTTTGGTGTGGCTGGCAGTGAGGCCCAGCCTTGACTGTCTGTTGAAGACACACTGCAATGTGCTGGTGCTGATGAGGCCACCCACCAGGTGTGGCAGGGGTGCCAGCCTGATGGGTCCTCAGAGAATGCCAGGGTGGGGTGAACTGTGTTAGCAAGATTAATGGAGAAGTCAGAAATGGCATCTGGTAGTATCAGACTAGCTAGAGGGAAGTAAAGAAAGATTTTTAAATGGTGCCTGTCAGTACTTATATTTCTGGCAAAAGTCCCAACAGGTCCCTGTCCGTCCAGCATACACCCTAAAATAAGTCAATATGTTACCTTCTCATAACACCCAGGTGCTTTCAAACTGCTGCCTCTGCACTGGGACTCGAAGAGCACAACCTTGGTTTCCTGCAGCCCTTTGGCTTTCCCAGCTGTAAGCCCTGCCAGTTTTCTAAGCCAGATGTTATGGAGGCTCCTTTTTCTGGTGCCTGTTCCCCAGGCTTGGGCTCAGACCCCTTTCTTTTCAGGTGGGGACCTCCAAGATTGTGATATCCTTCCCACTTGTTGGTTATCACTCAGGGAGTGGGGTGGTAGCCTGCCAAGAACTGTCTCTCCAGTTGTTAGAGTCCCACGTGATCCAGCAATGCAAGCCCTCATGGCCTCCAGAGCCAGGCCATCAGGAGCATTACCCTGGCAGTGGCCACAAAAAAATGGGACACCAGATGCATGTTACAGTGCCTTTCCAGAAAATACTGGCACTCTGGAATGGGGCACAAGGAAAGTACAAAGATGGTACATGCCAGCTGGAACTGGGCAGAAGGGGAACAAAAGATGATGCTTGCCAGAGGTCGGGGAACTTGCCTAGAATTAAAAAATAAATCACTCACCAGCTTCAGTCCTCTGGAGGGAATCCCAGCAGGCCCCTAGATGTGTTAAGTTTAGATGCCTGCCCCTCAGGCCAACATTTTAATGAAAGTAAATGAGCCACTTTCAAGTACAGTCTGGACACAAATGGCTGCGTCTGCACTGGGCCCTGGGGCAAGTGAGTTCATGTGTGAGCTTTTGTGGGTTTCATGTTTGCAAGCCCTGTTGTCAAAGTTACATGTTTTGAAGGTTCAGCTCTTAAGTGTAGGTCTTGAAACTACAATGTGGTGTACAAACCCTTTGCTCTTCAGGGAAAAGCTCCGGGTTTTGAATTCCCTCCTGATTCATGGATTGCCATGCTGGGGGTAGGGTGGATGGTTTGATTGTGTCTCAGCCTCTCCTAGTGACTTCAGTGTGGTCTCTTTCTCACTTGCCTGATGTGTAGGAGTCATGGGGACAGTTTTTACAGTTATTTCAGAGGAAATTATTTCATATATTGCTGTAGATTCTGTATGTCCATGTGAGGAGGTGAGTTTAGGATCTTACTAGGTCACCACCTTGAACTGGAAAGCTTCACTTTTTAAATTAATCCCTAATGCAGCCTCCTGTCACTGCTGAAAGAAATCTGTACCCTAATATAGCACTATTTTCTCCTAGGTAATTTTAGACCTTACTTTGAAAACACCAAATTACCCACATTATTTGACAGAAAGTAGAAAGGAACCTTAAAAAAGGAAGTGGGGTAAAGCAGTTTGCCAATGCAACCTGTTTACTTATCTGAAATTATTCTGCTTATGAGCTCTTGGTATTTCTTGATAGTTGCCTTTTAAACCTGAAGAATCTGGTCCCTTCCTGGCAGGGCTTACAGCTGGGAAAGCCAAAGGGCTGCAGGAAACCAAGGTTGTGCTCTTCGAGTCCCAGTGCAGAGGCAGCAGTTTGAAAGCACCTGGGTGTTATGAGAAGGTAACATATTGACTATTTTAGGGTGTGTGCTGGACGGACAGGGACCTGTTGGGACTTTTGCCAGAAATACTAAGTACTGGCAGGCACCATTTAAAAATCTTTCTTTACTTCCCTCTAGCTAGTCTGATACTACCAGATGCCATTTCTAACTAAATAAATTCTCACACAAGATAAAGGAAAGTGAAACTAAGTCTTTAAGATAGTAAAATTCTGTGTATTAACAGTGAGCAGCTATACATAAGAAAAATTCATCAGGGTCCCAAAATCGAAAAATTCAAGATGATTTATTTAGAAAGGCACCTTTGGTAAAGGGACAGAGTAAACGTAAGGTGAAGTTCCAGGAAATGAGCTAGTGGAATAAATATCCTGACCTCACTTTTTTCTCTTTAATCTGCCTGTGAACACTTGACAGATGCAGAAGCCGGAGGACCCAGGAAATCATTGATATGGTTCATACAGTCAACCTGCCAGGGCAGAGAGCTGAATAGAAAAAGGTGTCAAGAGTAGGAAAAAAAATACCCAGTATGAGAATGACCAAGGGCTGGGCAGCCTTACTAGGGATTAGTCTTGGAGCAAATCCAACCTGAAATAATAACCTAAGAAGTCTCCAAGATAAGAGCAATAACTGGGCTGTTCTTTTTTTTAATGTGCAGCCCGACCTCCACCTTTCATTAGTTAATTGTAAATTTAAAATTTTAATCATAAGTAAAAAAGTTTTTACAAGGTTTTCAACTGGTTATACAGCTGTGCAAGCTGAGCACATCACTGAACATTAGTAAGGATATTTCAGATGTCTTTGAGTGGTGAAACTTTCATTTTCTCCATTGAAAGTTATATATGATTCAGGGATGATCTGAAGGCAAAAGCTTAATGGTGTGTGAAATATGGACTTAAAAGAACATAAAATGTAACATGACTATATATCAATAGCAACATTTCCCTAAAAATTTGGTTCCAAGAGGGAAGTTATAAAAGACATTTTCCCTGGAGTGAAAACAACTGAAGGACACTTTCCATATCCCTTTCTATTTTACACCTAGGTACTTTGTTAATTTCAAACCAAGAACACTTCATGTCACTTTTGTTTTTTACATTGCTTTTGATGAAAAGTTTGTCAGTTACCATTGATATGAAAATTGCAAATTAAACTTTTCTTGGAAGTATACTTAGTTATACAACATGGTATTAGATATGGTGTTTGTATATTCAAGTCAAAGCCAAGACCATGCTGTTGTTTAAAAAATGGTCTACTCACATATACAAATGAATCATCTTAAATTCTGATGTGTACTCTAACATAGGATGATCCACTTGTGTGAGGGATCTAGGGTGGGGTGAACAAATTCAGAGATGGAAAGTAGACTAGAAGTTGCTGACATAAGGAGAGAGTATGGGATGAGAGATTCAGTGTAGTGAGTGTTCTTTATGCCACTGAATTGTATATTTAAAAATGCTTTAATGGCCCTGGCTGGTGTAGCTCAGTGGATTAAGCATGGGCCTGTGAAGCAAAGGGTCGCCGGTTCAATTCCCAGTCAGGGCACATGCCTGGATTGCAGGCCAGGTCCCCAGTAGGGGACACATAAGAGGCAACCACACATTGATGTTTCTCTCCCACTCTTTCCCTCTCTCTAAAAAATAAACATTGAAAAAAAAAGGTTTAATGAAGGATCTGGAGAAATTAGAACCCTTGGTATTATTGCTGGGATTGTAAAATAGTGCAGCCACTATAGAAAACAGCAGTTACCATTTGAACTAGGAATTCTACTTCTGGGTATATACCTGAAAAAATCATGAGGAGATATTTGGACACCCATGTTCATTAAGGTGGAAGCAACCCAAGTGTCCCATGGTATATGAATAGGTAAACAAATGTGTTATATACATACAATGGTGTATTGTTGTCTTAAAAAGGGAAGAAATTCTGACAATTCTATAACATGGATGAACTTTTGAGGACATTATACTAAGTGAAAATAGCCAGTCACAAAAAGGCAAATATTTATGTGAGGTACTTATAGTAGTCACATTTATAGAAACAAAGTAGAATGGTGGTTGCCAGGGGCTTGGGGGATGGAGGAATGGGAAGATATTTAAAGGCTATATAATTTGTTTTGAAAATTTCAAGAAAAAAGTTTTAGAGGGTAGTAACTAATAACAATTACCTTTAAAAGATGGTTAAAATGGAAAATTTTATGTTAAGTATATTTTAAGCACAAATTTTAAAAATCATATGCTTTTTTTCCCTTTTAGATGACTTAAATATTGAAATATTCACAAGTGCAGAATCATATTGTGGATCAGTAATAGAGAGGGAAATTATAAATTGTTCATCTCCCAAGATACCTGCAGAATTTAATGAACAGTTTAACACCAAGAAAAACAAACAAGAACTAAGAAGTCAGGATAAAGGACTGAACTTAGAAAAAGAAAACAGTTGGTATAATGACCATTGCAATCAGTTCACAAGTGCAGGGAAACAAACAAAACATAGGAAGAAATGTCCTAAAAGGCCTGATTGGAATATAAATAAGCCACTCAAAGGGTATATTCCAGCATCAGAAAAGTACCCTAAACAGCTTCAAAAGCAGAGAGAAGAAAAAAAGGTAAGGCGGCAAATGGAACTGCTTCACTTGGTAGAAAGAAATAATCCTGGAAACCTCTCTCAAAATACAGGCACTTCACCAGTTCATTCATCTCATCAGGAAACTGAGTCAAAGTTCAGGTGGCATCTAGTCAAAAAGGTAAAGGCTCTTCTGTCTCAAATACATATTTTAAAGTATATATTGTTGTTTCTAGATTTAAAAGTTCCCCACATGCATATTTTCACAAGGCTATTTGTCTGAAATTTACTTTAGTTTATACCCGGGGCTGGAAAACTATGGCCCATGGGCAAATCTGCCTTGCTGCCTGCTTTTGTAAATAAAGTTTTAAAAATACACAGCCATCTCATTCTTCTTCTTTTATGTATTATCTTTGGCTGGCTTCACACAACAGCTGCTGAGTTCAGAGTAGCAGCAGAGACCACATGGCCCACAAAGCCAAGTGTTTACTATCTGGTTCTTTAGTTTATACCTTTAAACCTTGTGTGGATTAATGCTTTTCTTTATTCAAACACTCAAGCAGAAGTTTGTGACTCAGATAGACTCAGGAAAAATTTAAAACCTATCCCATAATCTATTATCTTTTATTCAAATATCCTCAAATATTTTTCCCCAAATATAACCACTGAAGTATTTGTGAGAACATGTGGAAATACTATCATTCCTTTCTGCGTTTATCTGCCTATCTTTTAGGAAGAAGAACGCCTGAAAATTAATTCTTTCAGCAAAGAAAGGTATGTTAAGGATAGATTGATTCCATAGCTACTTTAGTGCTTTGTATGTGGTACAAGAGATAAAAAGTATTTGCTCAAAATACAGGTGAGGTCAAGCATGTATGTATGTTCGTGTGTGTGTATATACACACACACACACACACACACACATAATACATAATACAAACAGGAAAGAGTGTGATTTCCAAAGTAGAGGTCTACGGGAAGGGCTGCTGGCATTTAAAATTACCTAGATTTTTTAAGCTAAATTGGACTGGGCTCAGTCAGGCCTCCTAGGCAGGAATGTGGGTGTTTTCTGTTATCTCCCAGCTTTAACACTTTTGATTTTCTAGGTGTGATAACAGTGTCAAGCTAAGACATTCTGCTTGGATTGAAGGGTGGGTGGAAAGAAATGACTGGTATGGATAATGAGAAATTCAATTTTGAAAGTATAGAACTATTAGACTTTTTGTCTTTGTTCAAGAAGTATCTGGTTCAGTTGTCTCAGAATGTGGCTCTCAGACAGCAAGTAGTTCAGATAGTAAGTACATTACTTTATGATGAATTATTTGAAAAACATTAGGCTTAAATAACCTAGGTAGTGTTGATTCTCAGATTTAGTTTAATCCCTCCCTCGCCCTAACTGGCATAGAGTGTATGTATATATTTTTAGCAAGTACTAGTAAAAACTCAAATTAATCCTGTTTTGTTTCTACTGGTGTTACAAGCATATTTAGGATAAACTGAAACACGATTAAATAGTAGAGATGCTTAATCTAAAGTACACAATTTTTCATTAGTCCCTATTTATGCTTTTTTGAAAAAATACAGGTCTCAATCACCACCAGTTTCTATGATGAAAAACAGAACACAACAAACTCAGACGTTAACAAATAATTATGAAATAGAGAATCTGATCCCAGGAGGCAATCAAACAGAAGTATCACCTAGCATTTCTGAACCATCTCATTTTATTCCCTATGTTCGAACCAATGAGATCTATTACCTTGATCCAGATGCACCATTGTCTAGGCCTCTCACCCAGAATCCTCAGTACCCAAATGCACAAAGTAAGTATTCTTTCCCTCTGTAATTGTAAATTCAAAATCGAAATTGGTATTCTGGTCCTAGTTCTAGAAATTGTCACAACAAGGTTTGCTCAAGTTTGGGGATCCATTACTGAATTTTTAATCGACTATCTTATTCCTTGAATTTTGCTTGGTGCTTTCCTAGGATATAAATTTGTGCATGTTTGTTCATGAATCCTAAAATATACTGTAGTGTAGGGTTCTACCATACTGTTAGGAATATATTTGATTCTTGTCATTTTCATCTGGCTTTTTAGACTGTGACCAAGAACAAAGGCAGCTATTTGACTCTGATTATGTCAGGGATCCACTTCTTAATCCTAACCTGGTGAAAAACAGGGATCGACAGCAAGCAATCCTGAAGGGACTGTCAGAACTGAGACAGGTATGAACTTATTTTTTTAACGAAGCGAGGATGTGATTTTTTTCCTGGCTGTGTGCTGGAATGGCTGTTTTACTAAGTGCCTGGCTGGCTACATGATTTGTGACTTTACTACATCCCAGTTTTTTTAAAATTTCAACATCAGGGTGGGCCAAAAGTAGGTTTACAGTTATAAGTACATGAAACAAGTTATTCTTGTATTAACTATTGTTATTTTCCATAAGAAAAACTGTAAACCTACTTTTGCTTCACCCTGCACATCCTATTCTTGAATGGAAATAAAACAGGACTTTCAGGTTGCTTCACCTTGCCATCTTTAAGAATTTTCAGCATGAAATCATGAGACAATTCAAATATTAAAACAATTTTATTGAATGAAAAAGCATACATTTGTACAGTAAAATATCAATAAGGCCCTAAAACCAAAGGCAGAAAATATATAATTATGTTGTAAGAGGTTCTTGGTAATGCAGTTCATGCTTTTTTATGAATGTGTTGGCAGTGTTCAGGCAGTGTTCAGAACACAACATTAACACAAGTCCCCCCAAATAATATAATTCATTGTGAAATTGTGTAGCCTTTACCCACCAGACTATTCTTTATCCCAGACCAATTATGACTTCTCATCTTGCCTAGGCAAAAGTAAAATTCATTATTTAAGGCTGTAACTTTTCTCCATTAGCTTGCCTTTAAAAAAAATAGTAGCTTGCAAAAATTTTTGCAGTTAGTTTTGATTAAGGTATAGTTTTTGTGTTTGGGGAAAATACACTGTCATTTTAGGAGTATCTTTCATTTCAAATTGATGAGTGAAGTACTGCTTACCAATTCTTTCTATAGAGCTAGAAAATCACTCATACAGGATTATGAAGAAAGTGCCCTTTGTTTTTTAGATGGTAAGTTTGGTTACAAATAAATTGAGTTATGTTACTCAGGTTTGGTAAATTCATACACTGCAGGTTTGTTTGTTTTTAACCTAAAACTTCTAGCTTTGTGGAGACAAAGTCAAGAGAAGGACTATGATGTACACATACACCCACATGTTTTTTTTTTGTTTTTTTTTTCACCCACATGTTAATTATTCAGTAGGGCCTTATATTAGCCACTGTTAATGCAGGAAACACTAGCATTTGGCAGATAGGAAGAGGGGACTAAGACCCATAAAATCATGTAGACTTGGTTTTAAGATTAAGTCATCCCTGTTGTTTCTATGCTAAAAATATAATCTTACATATATTATAATAGCTATACAAGTCTAGTGTGAGAATTACTAAAATTTCTTTGAGTAATTAATTTAACATGACAAAGAGAAAGCTTAGACAGTAGCCAAGTATTTGAACTTAATACATGTTTTCAAAAATAAAGTTCTGGATTAACAGGGTAAAAATGTTAAAAAGGAGTAACTTGCAAGTCTGCTGCATACCTTTACTAACATATATCAATGTAATTTCAGGGCCTTCTCCAGAAGCAAAGGGAGTTGGAAACTAATCTCATGCCTTTAGCTGCCAATCAAGAAGAATTTTAGTTGTTTTAAACGTGTAAAAATCAAATCCTTCACATTTGTCCTCCAAATTATAAAATGTCCTCATCACTTAACTATTTTTACAAATAATCTAGGTTTATTTTTAGATGCTTATTTAAAAATTGTATATTATGTGATAAAATGCTGTACATGTATGTATGTGTGTATATATATATATATATATAATTTTTCAACAATAAAACAGACACCTTTGTAAAAGTTTACTAGTAATAAGAGGCATGTTTCTGCTCTTTCACAATCTGGGTATTTAAGTCCTATAAAAACACTTTCCTACTTACCTTAAACACAGTCTGGAGTTTCTGTTCTGTTAGTAATGTTCTTCCACACATTTTATGTATAGCTTATTAACTGAAATACTACTTATATATTTTAATATACAAAAAGATTTAAAAGGGTAGAAACTCTTCCAAGTTGTTCTGAGGTGCCAAAAAAGTTTGATTTAATACATCCCAACTTTACTAAAATAACTGAAATTCAGTTTAGGCTCATATGGCAATTTTCTTTTCCCCAAATCCTGTTTTTATGACTTTTTTGCATTAGTAATGGAGAAGCAGTTAGTGGCAATAGATGTGGGTTTAAAATTTACCTCCACCACATATTTTATCTGAATTTGAAGTTATTTTTAGTCTAGCATTTTAAGTACTTACCACCTCAAAAATATACTTCTAATACTGCCAATTAAAAAATCTGTAGCAAAGGATTTGTTCCAAATTGCCCAATGCCTTTAATAAATTTATATTTTGAAATATGAAATTGAATTTGGGTAAGTCAAGGGCCACACAAGCACTGAAAATTATAAAGTACCCTGAAGTAACAGGTTGACAAGAATTTTAACAACATGGCTAAGATAAAAAAAATAATGCTGCCTAGTATTAAGGCCTAAGTCCTATGTACACAGTTTATTATGTGAAAGAAGCTGCACTGTTAGACAAATCTTGAGGTACTGAGCCAAAATCCTGTAAGTATTTATTAATATCACTGGCTTATACCTGTGTAAAAACACTATACAAAAGCTTAAATGAAAATAAATACAATAGTTGATAGGTCATTTCAGCAAAAGTAGCTGGTATCATCTAACATTAGAGAAGTAAAGCCATTGCTGTCTACTATTCTTTTGCAAACATCTAGTTTTATATATAAAACAGACTTCAATTTGAAGCCAAAGTACAGGTGATATACAAATGTAAAACTTAAAAAGTGCCAACATTAGATAATTCAAGTACAATATATGTTAAAAATATATATATATTTATTTCAATTTTCATATGCTTCAACTGTTACAGGCCTTCATGATTTAAATAAGAGGGGAAAAATTTTTGAGAAAGGACAGAAGCCTTTTGTTTCTAGAGAAGGAAATATAAATTGTTAATTCACTTTTAAGAAACAGAAAAAGTTCGTAACAACTTATGTAAAAAAAATACTATAATTATTTCTCTTTTAAATATGGCCTGGAAAAATCACTTCTCCCCCATGCTTTCAGTATAAGCAGATAAAAAGTAATTTTCACTTTCTTGAGACTGACTTGATGAGAGGGCATATGGTGTCCCCAAAAATGTCTGGTGAGTGAGAACATTAAAATGACTACAGTGATGGGACATACTTAATTGACTTTGATAAACCTGGAAGTTGCTATATGAATCTTGTTCAGCTGAACTGCTGTTCTGTCCTTCAGAGCTTACATCAATAAAAGCTCTCTCTTCAGAATCAATTTGATAAGTCTTATCTTCTAATAAACCTTTTTGCACGTCAAGAGACGATTGCAACTCAATTTGAGTATTCTTTTTTTGATCTGTTCCACGTGATCCTTTGGTCTCTTTCGCCAAAATTTCTGAATGAAAATTGCTGTACACTTCTATTTGTGAGATTTCATCTCCTGAATCCAGAGACATATCCTCTTCATCCTTTTCATCGTTTTCTAAAAGAGCTACATTTAAAAAACAAAAAGTCCTCCTCTATTGAAATACACAATTTGTTTAAGTTTTAAAATTATACACTACTCACACAATATAACGCGTCAGGGTCTGCAAGTCCACAATCCCTTAAAGCTTGGTCTTCTGCCACAAGTTCACTTAGTCACAACACTCACACTAGGTGTGAATGTCCAGATAATCCGATGCTAAAAGCTTCTGCGAAATGTGTTCACGTTTAATGTTGGGAAATCCCAACTCCCAGCTCCAAAGGGGTTAATGTCAAAACAGCATCTAAAGTTATACGGTAATTCAGTATTTGACAAGACAAATACAAAATAAAAATTCTGACATCTAGCTTCACTGGATTTCTACTAAACTGGTTTGATCTCTGCTTTTTATCAAAAACAAAAGTACATCCTTCATTTCACATAAAACCTGGAACCAAAGCAGAGGCCATCTCGCAAAACTAAAGCCATGGATATCCCTACTATTTTGTATTAAATTACTTTGTACATCTGGGGAGATTTAGTAACCTGATGCCAAATCCCTATATCTGGTGTCCTTTTGTAAAAATTATAACCCCTTTGCTGACAACAGCAGACAATAAAGCTTACAATACCCTCAAAGACAGAATGCCTACTCTATAATATGCAGTCCACAGAAATGCTAACAGTTTGTATTGACTACAGTATAAAATGAGACTGGGGGTATGCTAAGTATAAAAATGATAAATTTCTTAAAACGCTTCCCCTGAAGCTGTTATACAGCAAAGTGAGTCATTTTTAAATAGGCATTTCCGTATATGAAAATGGCATAACCATTCCTCTTTTTCTGTCTGCCTTAAAGAAAATGAAAACTACTAAAAAGTTACCTGACTGTGACTCAAGATTCTCATTAGCACCAAGCAATGGAAGGTTTTCTTCTGTGATTGAGTTGTGATAGCCCACGAGACTTTTAAAGTTCTGCATAAAGGCTTCAGCAGATGCAACTACTATTCCATTATCTGTATAACTGGAGGACATCTGGATATTTTTTTCTAAATTAAAAAGAAAATGTTTTGAATATGAAATACTTGAAAATGTACATAGACAAATAATGCTTGCCCCCAGCCCTTGCAAAACACTCTGCCACCTTTTCAGAATCATAGCTTAACAGTCAATACCCATTACAGCCTCACAAAATCCTTTTGTCCACATTCCTATATTCATAGTAGAAAGCTTCAGACCATTGCTTACCTGTTAAAAAGACTATGTGTCGTTGCTGTATGTTCTGAGCTTGAAGTCTGATAAGACAGTCCAATTCTGGAGCATTTCGAGTTTGTGAATCACAATTGTGGTATGACAAAATTTCAACCAGATGTTTCTTCTGATAGACATTCAGAAGTGTCAGCAGACTTAGGGCTTTAGCGTTCAATCTGTGAAATTAAGTAGTTCAGTATCTGGATCTACATTTCTAAAATTTATTGTGGAAGTTTTTGCTTTAAAATCATACTTTCTAACTTGGGCAACTAAGGACAAATGCACTGCTTAGCCCATTGCCTGATGTAGGGGTGC